ATGGGTATTTAACCTCATTATCCACAGAAGGAAATTGAGATAGAGAGATTAGGTCATTAAAATCACGGTGCTTGCCAATTATGGTGCCAAGATAACCCCCACAGAGACAGGGATGTATGCAGGTCAATCCAAACCAAAATCTAGTCATGAAGAAGGCCATAAATTCTAGCTTTATGTTATTAAAGCAGCAAAATGAGAAACAAAGTAAAGTCAAAGTCTTACTGTGGTTAGCAGTTCTTCTCACAAAGCCCAAAACACCAGATTTTCTTCTAATGATTTCAGATGTCAAGTGGTAAAAACTGATTTTACAATGTTCTTGAGTAAATAAGTACTGGGGAAAAAAATGAGGAGGAAACATGTTTGTTTGGGTAAATTGCTAAGCAACACCACACATGCCAGAAACTCCTTTTGGATTTCCTTTCGAGGTGGAGACCGCGAAACCAACGGGTACTTCAGTTCGTGTCTGTTTCATTAGTTCACACTGGAAAATAAAAGCCAAACAGGCAATTCTAATAATACAAGAGTCAGAGGTGTGGAGGCCACTAATATTAAATTAGACTGAAGTGCTTAAGGTTGCCTTTTAAAACGGCCCATTCCAGAGTCCACGGTGGCACTAAGACTGAGGTAGGATTTGTGCAGCGTGTCCAGGAAGATCTAGCACACTGATGAAAAAAAAAAAAAAGAAAACAGCAGCCAGGCCATGTTATCTATCCCACTTGATAGTTCCAGACCCTGCAGACGATGGAAGTTTGTAATGTGACAACAGGATTGTGGCAATGAGATGAAAAAAACTTGGTGCATGTCACTTATTTAATAATGGAAAACTTCTTATGAGAAGTAATGTCTTCAGATGGATATTAAAGGAAGGAATTCTGTGGGTAGGGAGAGAAATTTACAGCCTCAGGGCCTGCTTGAGCAAAAGCTGGGCACTCTAAAGGGGAGAAACAAATTAACATAAAAGCACAAAAGGGAACCTTAGTAAGCCAGAAGGAATGAATAATTATTTGAACAGGAAATCCATGAGATGGCTGGTGCTGGGTTTATGAAACTTAAGATTGAAATTAATATTGAAACTCCAAAATGTAAGATTCAGGGTGCAATGAACCAAATGCTATTTAAGTGGTATTATACACAAATTGCTGTGAATTTTTAATGATTACATTTCTTGCAATAATTTGTAAAGAAAATTTTGGGTAAGCACACATATAACTCTGAATTATGTATGTGCAGACACATTTCCAATCAATTTGAATTCTTTTAAGGGTGAGGATATAGTTTCAGGAAGAAGATTCCAGATTTTGTTTTAAATAGGAACTGACACTGTAGAAAGAAAAAAAAAGGCCTATTTATGATATCATTAACTATAGATAGTCTGTATTCCTTAATATGCATCTGAGGCTTCCCATGATCTGGCCCTACCTACCTTCCCTACCCATGCCAGCCTGGGCAATCTCTCTTCTGAATCCCCTCAAACCCTGTAAAATATAAGCTCACCTCTATTAGAACTTGGCTTTTCCCCTATTTAATGAATTGCCATCTCTCCTAGTATTGTGCCTGGCATATAGTAGGTGCTTAGTAAGTATTTGTCATGGAAGCCTCTAGGATGGGCATGGAGCCCTCACAGCCTCACAGAAACTCACAGCCTAGCTGGAACAAAGATAACCACAAAAACAATTATAATAGATGAAAACAGTTATCATAATTAAGATATAAGAGCTAAGACTAGTTCTAACACTATTAGCACGTACATGTCAGACAGTGTTGTTCCACATGCTATGGTCTGGGTGTTTGTGTTCCCCCATAATTCATACATTGAAATCCTAACCTTCCAAGTGATGGTATAAGGAGGTAGGACCTCTGAGAGGTGATTACATCATGGGGGTGGAGCCCTCACAAATGGGATTAGTGCCCTTAGAAAAGAAGTTCAAGGGAGCTCTTTTGCCCCTTCTACCATAAGACACGGCTAGGAGGTGCAGCCTGTGAACCAGAAAGTGGACCCTCACCAGACAACAAATCGGCTGGTAGCATGATCTTGGACCATTCAGCTTCCAGAACTGTGAGAAATAAAGGTTCACTGTTTATAAGCCACCCAGTATATGGTATTTTTTATAGCAGCCCGAATGGACTAAAACACATGTATTAATTCACCTAATCCTCACAACAACCCTATGAGGTAGGCATTATCATTATCCTCATTTTTGGACGCACAAGGCGATGAAGTGACTTGCCCAAGGTCACACAGCTAGGAAGTAGGGAGCAAAATCGGAATCCAGGCAGTCTGGTTCCAGGGTCCTTACCACGAATTAGTGACTGCAGGCACAAGCACAGAGTAAGTGTGACTCAAAGACCACTGAAGTTTCTTCTAAGTCTGGGATTCCAGATGATTGCTTCACTAGTGCTAACAGTGAAGTATAGAAATATGGGGGAAATATTTATGAAACCTCTTCCATTTGGAACACACTGGTGCTGCTCAAACTTTGGATGCCTGATATTCCCCTGTGAAGATTCAGAATTTCAGGACTGGAATCCGGAAGATTCTGAGTCAATAAGGTTGGAACGGGGACCCAGTATCTATATTTTTAGCAAGTGCTCCAAGTGATGCTGGAGATCTTCTGATCACAGTTTGAAAACACTGTACTAGGCCTATTCTCCAGAGGACCCTTTGGCTCAGATTCTGCATTCTCTTTCCAGGCCTGGCCCTCCTCTATTGGAATGTGTCTGTAATAATCCTTTGACTCCGCAGTGCTGGTGGTGCTATTCAGGGCATCTTCAGCTTTAGAAGTTCCTTGGATGACAGGCACCATAACCCTTAACCCACTTGGTAATCTCTCATTTTTGGTCTGTCTCCTCTTGAGGGCCAGGGCCGTATCATACCCCACTCTACATGCCCACATCTTAATTCAGGGCACAGGAAATGTCTTCAGCATGAACTGATGAATAGCATGAGCCAGGGCTGTACTCCAGACCCACCAGTCTTGCCTTTGAGAAGCTCACAGTTAAGAGAAGAACATGAATGTCTAAGTTAACAAACTGCAGGATCAGGTAATAGGTAGCCATAACTACCTAAATATTAGCAGCATGTTATGTGTGCCTAGGGAACAAATGAATAATTTGCTACGGGGGATGGACGGCATGGGAGACCATGCTAGAGGAGTAGATTAAGAGCTGTTATAGCTAAATTGTGTCCTCCCCAAAATTTGTGTTGAAGTCCTAACCCCCAGTACCTCAGAACATGACCATACTTGGAGATGGGGTCTTTACAGAAGTAATGAAGTGAAAACAAGGTCATGAGGGTAGGCCTTAATCCAATATGATGTATAAGAATAGACAATTAGGACACAGACGCATACAGAAGAGGGTAGAGGGCGTGAGGACACAGAAGCGGGGCCATCTGCAAGCCAAGGAGAGAGGCCTCAGAAGAAACCAGCCCTGCCAACACCTCCTGAGAAAATACCTTTTTTTCTTTTCTTTTTATTTCCTTCCTTCCTTCCTGTTTTTCTTTCTTTCTCTCTTTCTTCTCTCTCTCTCTTTCTCTCTTTCTTTCTCTATGAGACAGAGTCTCACTCTGTCTCCTGAGTGCAGTGGCCCGATCTCCGCTCACTACATCCTCTGCTTCCCGGGCTCAAGCGATCCTCCCACCTCAGCCTTCTGAGTAGCTGGGACCAAAGGCATATGCCACAAAGCCTGGCTAATTTTTGTATTTTTTGTAGAGACGGGGTGAGAAAATAAATTTCTGTTAAGCCACCCAGTCTCTGGTACTTTGTTATGGCAGCCCTAACAAACAAATACAGGAGCAGAATACGAGAATTTACTAAATCAAACAACGGAAATTAAATTTTATCCTTTAAGCTGCCAGAAGCCCACAGAGGTGTCTAAGCATCAACGTGACAAATAAGCAGCTTTGATTCCGCAATATAACCTGGAAATAGTGAGGACACCGACGTGGAGAATAGAGATGGAGTCGACAGAGATCAATTGTTCTAATGTGCAATAATGCAAGACATAAGATCAAGCCAGCAGGAGTGAGAAACAGCGATCATATCAGAGAGATATTTGTGGGACAAAAGTAACAAGAAGATGAGGTGTAAGCGGTGGAGGGTAAACGGCGAGCCTTCCCATGAAGAAGAGTGGCCTGGGAAGTGAAGAGGACAGCGAAGCCCCAACCCCCACCTGGGGATACGGGAAGGAAGTGAAGCAGGTTCCAGAGAAGGGGACAAGATAATGGCTTAGGGTAGGATAAGTTTCAGACAATTGCAGAGCATCACGTTAGATGTGTTCAGAAGAGTGGAAACAAAGTCCTGTGCCTAGGCCCTCATGCAGGATTCTGTTGCTATAAGTCAGTGCTGGCCGCGGGGAGACCGAAGATCACGGTGGAGGCACCAGCGATCCGAGAGTCCTAAGAGGAATCCCTGTGTCCCCACAATGTGTGGAGGGAGAAGCCAACCAAAGATCAAGAAAGCATCTCCAAACCAGCGGAATCAGGGACAGGAGGCCCGTCAAATGCACAGCAAGTCAGCCTTGGTAGTTTGCAAATGAAAAGATTTCTTTGCCCCGCTGGAGACTTCAGCTCAGGCTGGATGTCGCTAATTCACACCATCTCACCAAAAGGTTCTTTCCCTGCACTTTGGTAAATCGAGGCAGAAGTGGCTAGTGGTTAACGGGCACCCAAGAGTTTTCTCGGCGTCGGGCAGGCAGCGACAGCTCCAGGAGCCCTTTCCCTGCAGGCGGGCGGCCGGGTGAGCGGGCGGGTCAGCGACTCCCGCCCTTCCCAGGCCTTCCCGGGAATGGAATGTGGGCGCCCGCGCCCGGGCTCCGGTTCCACTTGGAACGCGGGCCCGGGAGCCGCAGGGCAAGCGCGCAGACCGCGGGGGCGGCTCCCGCGCACCTCCCCCCTCAGCGCGCCGCGGCCGATGGGCGAGGCGGGGCGAGGCCGGAGGGAGGCGGGCCGAGGAGGCGGGAGAGGGTACGCGGGACCGCGGGTAGGTCGGGGGCGGGGAGCAGGAGGCGGCGGGCGCCGCGAAGAAAGGAACATGGCTCCTGAGGCGCACAGCGCCGAGCGCGGCGCCGGGCACCCGTGCGCCGGACGCCAGTGACCGCGATGGTGAACTCCAGCCGCGTGCAGCCTCAGCAGCCCGGGGACGCCAAGCGGCCGCCCGCGCCCCGCGCGCCGGACCCGGGCCGGCTGATGGCGGGCTGCGCGGCCGTGGGCACCAGCCTCGCCGCCCCCGGCGGCCTCCGCGACCAGCGGGGCCTGGAGATCGAGATGCAGCGCATCCGGCAGGCGGCTGCGCGGGACCCCCCGGCCGGAGCCTCGGCCTCCCCTTCTCCTCCGCTCTCGTCGTGCTCCCGGCAGGCGTGGAGCCGCGATAACCCCGGCTTCGAGGCCGAGGAGGAGGAGGAGGAGGAGGTGGAAGGGGAAGAAGGCGGAATGGTGGTGGAGATGGACGTAGAGTGGCGCCCGGGCAGCCGGAGGTCGGCGGCCTCCTCGGCCGTGAGCTCCGCAGGCGCGCGGGGCCGGGGGCTTGGGGGCTACCACAGCGCGGGCCACCCAAGCGGGAGGCGGCGCCGGCGAGAGGACCAGGGCCCGCCGTGCCCCAGCCCGGCCGGCGGTGGGGACCCGCTGCATCGCCACCTCCCCCTGGACGGGCAGGCGCCCCGAGTGGCCTGGGCGGAGAGGCTGGTTCGCGGGCTGCGAGGTAAGAGGGCGCGACCCGCAGCTACCAATGCACAAACCTGAACGGCCGGCGCCAGCCGGGGCCATCTCCCGCGGCGGCCGCTCCCGGGGTTCCATCTCGCATCCCCTCTGCGTTGCGCCTCCCTTGGAAGCGCATTCCCCACCTCTGCTAATCCTGCCCTATTTCCGGTACCCAGCGCGGAATTCCACTGCGCTCTTGTTGGTGCACATTTATTGAATACCTCCTTCTTTAGGATATGTCACCATAGTCTTTTTTTAACTGAAAATTAGTGAAAGCCTAATTAGAGTGAAAGAGTACATCTGGGTTTTTTTTTTTTCTTGTAGGGGAAAAAATGAACATTACTTGTAGTATAACTGATGGTAGTTGCAACTGCATATTTGATAATGTCACAGAATCTAAAGGAAAATGTTACAGTCACCTGTGGTTTCCTTCTTACCTGGATGCTGCATTGTCCCGGGCTGAAAAGGGTAGCAGTACAGAACATATAATGTCAAGTTGTGGGAGGAGTGTGGCAGATTGTCATTGATGAATTTTTTTGGTGATGTGTGTGTTTGTTTTGGGGAGTGGGAGCTGTTGAGAACACCACAAATAGAATAAAATAATATCCGTGAAGTTATTTGGCCGTTTCTGATTCTAGACATTTTTCTAAAAACAGTTGCAAAGGAAAATTACATTGTTTTAAAAAAATTTGATGTTTTTAAATAACTAAATTAATGTTCTTTGAAATTCCACCAAAATGATGAAGTCACCAGATAGCAGCTGATGAATGTATCTGAGTCCAGTGCGCCCAGCTCTACAAAAGGCAGAAGAGGAATTTTCAAATTTGCCAGTGCCCCAGTAAGAGGACATGAATTTTCCAATACCAGAGGAAATTATCTTTTTACAAATTTTGTCAGAGGTGTCCTTGGAAAAGTGTCGCGTTTGCTTTTACCCTCCAAATTATTTTAATCTATATTTTTAAGAGTTTCCATTCTCAGTTGTTTTGAGTTTTTCTTGTTCTTCCCCTTATGTCAGTTTTGAAAGTCTTGCACAAAAACAATCCAGGTGTTGTTACAGCAATGTGATTAAAACCAGGTCAGGCCTACACAATAATCCCAGTTCCACCACTCATTTGCTGTATGACCTTGAGCAAGTTACTTAACCTCTCTGAGCCCCGATTTTTGGATTTTTTTTTAAAGATATGATCATAACGCTTAGTCCTTGACTCGTTGAGAGGATTAAATGAGTGAAGACATAAAATGTGCAGCATGTATTTGCCATGTATTAGCACTTCAGAAATACACATGTAAACATTTTGGTACTTCTTTTATGGAGGTACTTACACTAGTTAATTCAAGGCATGGTGGGGAACAAAAGATCCTTTTTGGATAACCTGTGTTAGTAGATTAATGATTAATAAAACACACTTTTTAAGGTTCAAAACTAGATTAATTAAATTATATGTTATTTTACACCATTTAAAATGTGCATTTAAAAAATATTCACTGAAGTGAAACAGAAGTTCCTTTTAAGTTAATAAATAATGGTAAGTTGCATGATCCTTTTAACTCAGTTTAAGAATTTGGTAACACACCTAACTTTGTTTGAATAAACTCAAAAATAGAATATAGAGAAATGAAATATATATTTCATATGAGTATGTATGTAAATTTATTTCTTTTAAAGAAAAATTTCAGGAAACAAAATGAATAAGCTCCTAGTCATAAAACCTCTAGTGAAAGCGTGTCAGTGGTCTGATTTGTAGGTGAGCAGACTCAGGACTCAGGAATTTTTTTTTTTTTTTTAAGAGACAGGGTCTCATTCTGTCACCGAGGCTGGAGTGCCGGGAAGCGAAAGTAGCTCACTGCAGCCTCAAACTCCTGGGCTCAAGCTGCCCTCCCACCTCAGCTTCCCAAGTAGTTGGGATTACAGGTGCAAGCTGCTGCTCCTACCTGAAGAGTTTTAATTATATAAAATTCTTAAATAAATTGTTATTCCTTTCTTTTATGAAGAAATATAATTGATATTCTTGTCACTTATTCAATAAGCACATTTTTTAAATATTTAGCACCTACTGTGAAGATAGCACTGTGCTAGCTGCTATGAAGAAATAAACTAGAATAGCATATCACTGTTTTCCTATGGACGAAAACCCAGAAAGGTAAAATAAGTAGCCATGAATGGGTTGAGATTCCCCCCACCCCCTTTGAATAACAATGACAGAAATCTTATATGCACTATGTAAGCAGTGCCCTAGGGTCAGAACAGAAAGTAACTTGCAATTTTTAAAGGTAGGAGAAATGACCGAGTTTGGAGTGGTCAGAGTTTCCCTGGAAGTCTCTTGCCTTTGTGACTTCGTATGACTCACTCAGACTACCTGAGCCTGAGCTCCTCATTTATAAAATGGAGGAGTTGAACCTAGCCTCCAAGGTCCCTTCTAGCCTCACCATGCTGTGGTTTGTTGTTTAATGATATGAATCCAAGATGGACAAATGGTCGATTTTGCTTCTTCTACAGTAGATTGATCTATCTTCTTAGGAGAAGTAAAATAGTAAAGAAAGAAGACATGTTTGAGGCCTGTTGAGGCCTGTTTGCAGGATGCATTGTATCTCATCAAGGAATTGAGAATGTATCCCTAAATATTAGGAAGGAGTTGAAAGTTTCTGAGCAGGAACAGAACATGCTGAAAGGAAATTGAGTCAGCAGCATGGTGTACAGGAGAGCTTGGCAGAGGGAGACAGGAGGCAAGAAGACCTGTGGGAGGCAGCCAGAAAGGAGGTGAAGAGGGCCCGGACCAAAGGAAGCCAAGGATGATTGAAAGATTTAAAGACGAAGCCCAGACTTAAAAGTATCCTCAGATATTTGTTTATTCTTTTCTTAACAAACTCTTTCAGTACAAAGATAAAATGTGGCACTCTGAGTCATAAAATTTTCTGAATTTCAGAAGTTGAATATTTTTCTGAATGTATCAACCTGTTAAGGTCAGTTCCTGTTTGTTATTTTAGGCATATATTCTTGGGCTTTTTTTTTTGTTTTTTCTAGAGAAACTCTGAAGTACCAGCTGTACAAGTAAGGGTAGGCCAAACTGCTAAAACAGATACCTCCCTCCCCTTCAGTACCCTGAAGAACAAGAAGTTAATTTTTTGCTCATGTAACATTTCGGAGAGGGTATTCCAGGTTAGCAGCAGCTTTGCTCCATATGGTTATTAAGGGATCCAGACTTCTTCCCTGCTGGCTCTCCCAGGGCCCTGTCATTGCCTCTGTGGTCAAGGCTTAACAGCCACATGCAGGTTCTGGTGGAGAGTGTGAAGAAAGCTTGCCACTGCTGTTTCCTTAAAGGCCTTGTCCTAGAAATGGCCCACATCACTTTCAGTCATGACCCATTGGCAAAGTTCTTAATTATTTAGCCAAGGATACCTACAAGGGAGTCTGGAAAATGTAATGTAGGCATGTGCCCAGGAGGGAAAAAATGAATTTCAATAGATGGCTAGCGATGGCCTTATTAGTGCTCAGACTCAAATGAAATAGTAAGTCGACTCTTATTTCTCCTAAAATAATTGGGTCTTGACATTGAAATTGGTGTACTGATTGTGTTTAATAAGTGACCTCCAGTGCAATTATTTTATTTTGCCACACTTTATGTAATTTTTATTTTTTCTGCCTTCCCTTTTGATGTCTAAAGGGAAGCATAACTAATTATTGGAAAAGTTATTGAAACTTAAAAAAAGATTTGAACTTGGCTTTGGTTGATGCTACCACACAGAAACTGCAAACATCCAACTCACCGCTCTTAGTTGCTGCTCGTGATAGTTGCTGCTCGTGATAGTCTATATGAATTTAGCCTGTCTTGAGGCTTCAGAACTTAGTCTTAGGTCGCCACTAGAAGAGCATTATCCTAAATTACAGCTTTTCAATGGTGGGGAGGGGCAGTCTTGCCCCTCAGGGGACATTTGGCAATCTCTGGAGATATTTTTGATTGTCATACTTGGGGGGATGCCCCTGGCATCTCCTGGTTTGAGGTTAAGGATGCTACTAATCTACAATGCACAGTACAGTCCCCGCCACACACCCTACAAAGTATTCTCCCACCCAAATTACCAGGAGTGAGGACTTTGAGAAACCCTACCCCAGACTGTTAAATTCAAAAAGAAATAATGGTTTATTGCTCACTGTGTGCCAGGCACTGTGTTAAAATCCTTATATTCATAGTGTCATTTTTATCCTCACAACAACCTGTGAAGAAAGAACTATCATCCATCACCACTTTACTCTTGAGGGCGCTAAGCCTTCTAAAGGTTAAATGACTTGCCCAGGGCCACAACTAGTAGATGCTGCAGTCAGGATTTAATTCCAGGCACTTTGTGTTCAAAGTGTTTCTCATCCACTGTGCTGTATGCCAGTAGTGCCCAAACCTAACTTTAGCCAGCAATTGTCTGCATCTCTTTAGTTTATGAACATTTATTTATTAGGGCATGCAGGATAAATCATACCAACACAGTCCGTATATCCAGAATTCTAATTGATCTAGGGAGTGGGAGAGCCTGCCTCTCTATAATTTTTTTTTAAATTGGTGTGACATATATATAACATAAGATTGGCCATTTTAACCATTTTAAGTACGCAATTGAGTAGCATTTAGTAGATTTATTATATTATGTAAATGGACGTAACACAATTTATTTCCAGAACTTTTATCATCCCAAACAGAAACTCTGTACTCATTAAACAATAGCTCCCTGTTTCCCCATTCCCCCTTGCCCTAGTCCCAGGTAACCTCCATTCTACTTTCCCTGTCTGTGAGTCTCCCTATTCTAGCTACCTGATATAAGTGAAATCAGACCATGTTTGATCTTTTGTGTCTAGCTTATTCACTTAGCATAATATTTTCAAGGTTTACCCATGCGTGAAAATTTCCTTCCTTTTTACGACCGAATAGGATTTCATTGTGTGTGTACACACACATTGTGCACACACAGTGAAATCCTGTTCGGTCGTAAAAAGGAAGTTTGCACACATATGTA